ACGAGAGAGGATGGTGAGGGGATGGGGGTCAATGCACAGGAACCAGAGCAGCAGGACCCATCATCAGAGGAGCCCCTGTCTCCACGAACATGGCAGGCTTTGAGGTATAGGGAGCAGCAGTGTCAGAAATGTGTCAACAGTGGTGCAAGGTTATTTGCATCTAATTACGCAAGATGAAGACTCAGTCTGTGGTTCACTGTCCATTTTACTGTTCAGTATTTATCACCGATGTATGTGCTGAATGCTTAAAATCTATTTATGGGTGGGGGGAACCTTTGGAACCCCAGAAACAAAACACTGTGTGACCAAGGGACACCAAAGAACAGACACAGATGAGACATTTGCTTTTTCATGTTCCTAAGCCTGCCAAGGCTGATATGCATCTGCTGCTATTTGTAGCTATTCTGACCCAAGAGGAGTTTTCCGAGAGTTGGCTTGCACAGTCATAATTAGATCGTTCTATCTGGAGGAAGAGGAGGGGAAGGAAATTAATTTCTTGAACAGGCAATGGAGAGCAAATTGGGTGAGAAGTCAAACGGGCTGGCTGGAATCATCTTTCTTGGCAAGCCTGAACTTTAAGGGAGCGGGAGTTAAGGGGTGGGTGGAAGGATAGGGGAAGATGGCACTCTCTCTTCTCCACTCACTAACACTCTCTCTTTTTGTAACAATTGCAGACTCCCCTGGGGCACTCACACCCAATTACAGGGGCAGCCCCCGCCTTTCCTAACAACTTAATTTGCTTAATGATTCAGGAGGCCCCTAGGGGAGCCCTTGAGGTCATTGTCTGACTAGAGTTTCCATGCTTCACAGAAGGGTTTTAACAGACACGTGCAGAGCCGAGACAATGCAGGTGGGATGTGAAGGACAGCAGGGTGAAAGCGAAAATAAAAACACAATAATAATAATAATCTCTTCCCCGCCTCTATGTATATACACCAAACAGCTGTTATAGTCAACACGGTGTCTTCTAGGTGTTGAACTGTTACTTCCCACAATCCTTTGCTGGCTGGGGCTATTGGAAGTCCAAGGTAAGTTTCAGGGCATTATACTGACCACCCTGCTTTATGGGTTAACGCACCCACACCAAAACACGTCCCTGCTGCTAGAGTAGCTTGCTTGCAATCTGAATTTTGCCGAATTTGGGAGACAAACAGGGGGAAAGGAGAACCCTCAGCACAGACAACAGTGAGCAAATGCGTTTGTATTTGAAACCTGAGGATGGAATGCTCAGTCAAAGGCTGTGCAAAATAGAGTCGCCTTGAATGGGGAGTAGAAGCAGGTGGGGATAACATCCCTGTATACCTGAAGGAGCGTCTCCACCCCCCCATCGTTCAGCCCGAACACTGAGATCCAGCACCAAGGGCCTTCTGGCGGTTCCCTCATTGCAAGAAGTGAGGTTACAGGAAACCAGACAGAGGGCTTTCTCGGTAGTGGCGCCTGCCCTATGGAACGCCGTCCCATCAGATGTCAAGGAAATAAGCAGCTATCTTATCTTTAAAAGACATCTGAAGGCAACCTTGTTTAGGGAAGTTTTTAATATTTAATGCTGTATTGTTTCTAACATTCAATTGGGAGCCGCCCAGAGTGGCTGGGGAAACTCAGTCAGATGGGCAGGGTAGCAGGGTATAAATAATAAATAATAATAATAATAATAATAATAATTATTATTATTATTATTATTACTGGAGGAATGCTTTGGCATATTTTTATAGGAAACAGACTGGTGCACATACCTGCTATTTCACTAGACAAAATGCATCAGGTTTGCCAATGCGTGATTTAAAATAGCGGGTATTTAAAAATATACACATATACCTTGGAGCGGCTTATGCATTTCCAAATCTTTCTGATATGCAGTAACATGTATAACGCCCAGCATTTTATAGGTGAGCATCTCACCTGCATCCATCCCAGGGATTTAAAATTGTGGCACAGAATTGATGGAGCTGAATGCAAAACCACACAATCTGCATGATGCTTCTGCAGGGCAATTTGAAAGTGAGAGGGGCTGGGCAGTGGGGGAAAGAATAGCCCTATGAAACCATTTCCGCTTTGTTTCCCAAAACACTCAGAGGATGAGCCTTTGCATAATATACAGTTGGTTCTCTTGATGTATAAGCATTAAGGTGAGCTCCCATGTTTTCAATTTCCAGTTCTAGATCCAACTGGGGCCTCTCTTTTTTTGTCCCCTTAGAAGCTGTATGCTCCAGGAAATGAGCTGTTCCATTGTTTTTCTCATTTTCGTATCTGCTTCCAGTGTCAATCTAAAGTCCCACTGTGCATGTTGAAATTCCAGAATCTTCAGATGCTACCCTCAAGCAGTTATCTAGAAAAGATACCTTTGTCTCAGGAACATTTAGGGCAATTTGGGATACTGCCTTGGTAGCTCTGAATCTGCTTCTCCCAAGATGTACAGACCATTTTCCTAAGGCTGAGCTCTGCGAAAGGAGGAGGCCCGGGCAGGCCCACAGGAGACACCCACCCGCCAGCCGACCTGCGGCTGCCGCCATTTTACTGCCATGGCCAAGCAGTCGGTGGAGCCGGGAGCCAATGATACTCTGCCTTGACATATATTACACCTGTAGTAATGGAAAGTTACATTTCAGGAGGATGTTCCCAAAAGCCACATCTTCAGAACTGATACCTTGCCAATTGTTTAAAATGACATTTTTTCCTCCAGAGAACCCTTTGCTTCTTCTCTGCAACCTGATCTCTCAATGCCTCTTGAGGATTAATCTCTCCTTCTTACTTACCACCCGAGTGAGTGGATCAGTCAAGGACTTCTGCAGATGGTTTCACTGCTTTGCAGGATTTGTTTTGGTTTTGTTTTTTTAAAATATTTTTCCATGTATACTTCTTCTAACAATATATCTTTAACAATTTTTCATATTTCGACCCTCCTCCCCTGGACTTCCCCCATACTCCCGTTTTGATTTATTTCCATATTGTTCACCCTGCGTATTGTTTCCCCCAAATTTTCTCAATACATATAGTCTTATTTTTTGTTGTGTACAGTTGTGAGTTTACTCAAACCCTGCCAATGAGTCCATTTCTTTATGTTGCCTCTTCATATATGTTGTAAATAGTTCCCATTCTCTTTTAAAGTCTTTGTTGTCCTTTTCATGTAATTTTTCTGTTAGTTTTGCCAGTTCTGCATATTCCATAACTGCTTTGCAGGTTTTGAATCTGTTTCAAGAGCACACAATATTCCACAAGTACCAAAACCGACACAACCCTGAGGCATAAAGCTCAAGCCCATTCCAGCTACCATTGGTGGTTTTGTAAGATTATGCAACAGCAATGAACCTCTGGAGCGGTTTATTAGCGTGTACCAGAGGAAGCCTACTTAAAAGGGGAAGAAAAAAAATCTAATTGTGGCTTCCTACAAGCAGCTAACCAACACAGAATGCTCAGCACTTGGTGCTCTGTTTTGGGTTGTGTCCAGATAACCGGTTTATTGAACATTCATTCTGATTTGTTTGCACAATGTTTGCAATGAGGTCATATACATGGTGCCAGGGGCTTGCTAAACATTCATTTTCACTTGTTTGCAGGGAAGTTATATGATGCCATGTTAAACAAATGCGATCCCATGCACTTTCCTGTCACTTTCCTTGTTGTTGTTGTTTAGTCGTGTCCGACTCTTCGTGACCCCATGGACCAGAGCACGCCAGGCACTCCTGTCTTCCACTGCCTCCCACAGCTTGGTCAAACTCATGCTGGTAGCTTCGAGAACACTATCCAACTATCTTGTCCTCTGTCGTCCCCTTCTCCTTGTGCCCTCCATCTTTCCCAACATCAGGGTCTTTTCCAGGGAGTCTTCTCTTCTCATGAGGTGGCCAAAATATTGGAGTCTCAGCTCCACTTTCCTTACTGCTAAGAAATTTGGGGTGGGGAGCAGCAAACCTCTTGCACAAGACCAGCAAATCCGCTTTAACTGCACAAACTGAATTTACTGGTATGTCACACTGAATTCCACTGTAAAATACTGAGAGTCTGGAAGCCCTTGGTCTGGGCCTGGTAATCTATCTAGGTAGGCCAAGAATCTAGCCATGTTCCCTACCCCATTCTGCCCCCTGCTCCCTGGCAATGAGGCAAACATTTGCTCCTAACTTTGTAGACAATCGGGCATTTTACAGCGCACTACATGGGACAGAGAATATTGTAACCCAGATCCAAAGAGAGAACTGGGACGCTAGTTCTGCATGCCTAAAAATTATTTGGACTTGCATTTCTCAAATACCTGTTCCCCTTGCCACGTGGTCAACTGCTTTTGAAAGTCAAGGCAATGGAAGTTGGAAATGAGGGGGGGGGGGCGTTTCAAACACAGCTGGCTTGTGATATGGCATGCGGGCATCAGAAGCACAAGAAGAAGATGTTGAAGAAGGGGGGAATCCCTTGAGCTTCTGCCCTTCATAAAAGGTAAAGGGACCCCTGACCGTTAGGTCCAGTCGCGGATGACTCTGGGGTTGCAGCGCTCATCTTGCTTTATTGGCCAAGAGAGTCGGCATACAGCTTCCGGGTCATGTGGCCAGCATGACTAAGCCGCTTCTGGCGAACCAGAGCAGCACACGGAAACTCCGTTTACCTTCCCGCTGGAGCGGTACCTATTTATCTACTTGCACTTTGACGTGCTTTCAAACTGCTAGGTTGGCAGGAGCAGGGACCGAAAAATGGGAGCTCACTCCGTCACGGGGATTCGAACCGCTGACCTTCTGATTGGCAAGTCCTAGGCTCTGTGGTTTAACCCACAGCGCCACCCACGTCCCTCTGCCCTTCGTTAGCATGAGCCTAATTTAGGACTCGAAGCTCTTCCTGTGGACAAATGGCAGGTCAGGGTATATTCTGGCTGAATACCTAAAATGGTGTTATAGCTGTAGGAATGCGATTTGTTTTTTTTTCATTCCAGCTTCCTCCCAAATTATAGAATCACAGAGTTGAGGAGCTGGAAGGAACCACGAGGGTCATCCAGTCCAACCCCCTGCGATGCAGGAATCTCTTGCCCAACATGGGAATCGAACCCATGACCTTGAGATTAAGAGTCTCATGCTCTACTGACTGAGCTATGAAACTCTCCCCTTCTTTTCCTATAGCTTAACAGTGTGATAACTGGATTGCTGCAGTTGTCTGCCTCCAGCATGAAAGCCAGTGTGGTGTAATGGCTAGAGTGCTGGACTAGAACCTGGGAGACCCGAGTTCAAATCCCCACTCAGCCATGAAGCTCACTGGGTGATCTCGGGCCAGTCACTGCCTCCCAGCCTCACCTACCTCACAGGGTTGTTGTGAGGATAAAATGGGAAGGAAGAGAACTATGTGTGCCACCTTTAGGAAAGGTGGAATGAAACTGCAATAAATAAAACATGGTTTCCAAAGCGCCCATAGAGAAATGCAAGGGGGTGTGCCATTATTTACTACCACACAGAGGAGACAGTCACAAAAGAACTCTGCAATCAAGCAGCGAAGAAGTACCTTTGCCCTCCACTTAGGAGAGACAGAAGCCTCTGTGTGTCTCCATTTTAATTGCTATCGTGTTGCCAAGTACAACAAAGATATATATATATATATAAATATGAGATAGATGGCATTTTGTTCTTAGCTTCTCTCTCCCTGCCTCCCCCAAACACAGAGTGGGGGTTAGCAGATGAAATCAGTGTGCCTTTATGAGCAGTGACTCAGGTGCTGCTGTCTATTCTAGCTTCGGCGTTGAGAGAGGGCTTTTGTGCTCCGTCGGGCTTTATGGCATCACTTGTAATAATAAGACGATTGTTTGGTTGCGTGCAAAGCTCTCGCTCAGGGATTCCTGTTGCGGCCTCCTCCCTTGAAACCGCAACCATGCGAGCTGCACCTTCCCTGCTAAACTCTGCCCCCCCCCCCCGGAACTCTGCTTGCTCACAGGTAAACATTGAGTAGTGCAATGCCTGCAGGAAGGAAGGGTCCTCGTCAGCCCTCGGTTAGCCACACAGGCACTGAGAGATAACACTGGCTCCAGCATTCCTCATCTCTGACTCAGAGGCAAATGAGGACGTGAGCTCCCTCACGCTACCTAGCGAGGGTGACAGTTCACCTGGTTGGCCTTAGTCTGTCTCGTCTGCTGCGCTCTCCTCTTTGCTGTCCTCACTGCTTCCTTTTTCCTGCTCCACTTAACCAAGAAGCACAACATGGGCTGGAAGTCTCTTGGAATACAGAGCTGGGACTTAACTCTAATGTTGGCTTCTATATCAAATGGGGCCCTTTCTATCATAGCTGTCAACGTTTCCCTTTTTTAAAAGGGAAATTCCCTTATTCCGAATAGGATTTGTTATGTACCGAGTTGAATAGGATCCAAAATGCAGCAGTCTGATTGGTCCACAGGAGCCACCCAATCCAGCTCTAGGTGGAAGTGAATCCGCAACCTGACTGGCCTACAGGAGAATCCAGGAATTAGCCAATCATGTGGGGCCCATAGTGTAAATAATGTATATAAAGCAGACATTCTGGGGGAACTTCCATTCCTCCTCACCACTATGAGCTGAATAAAGAGCATGAAATCCACTCTCGACTCCAAGTATATTTCAGGATTCCTCGCAAGAAAAGGGAAAAGTTGACAGCTATGCTTTCTATCAGTGTGAAGAGGTGGCACAGCGTCGCATCCACCCTTGTTTTTCCATGATGGGAGCCAAGCAGAAGAGAACATAATCCAAATTACGGGTTGGTTTTGGTGGCATGGGCTCAGCGTACTTCTGGGAGCATGTATGAGCCCTTCCGTCTGTTAAGATCAGCTGAAAGATGGCAAGGGCGTGTTAGGGACTGCAATTCTAGATCAATTATGAACCTTATTTGTGGGCAGGAGGAGGAGTGCAGAAGGCTGAACAAGTGGGGGTGCCCTGGACAACATGAAATTTTGCCTTTTGAGCACAAAAAAGCAATGCCCATCCCTTTGAAGCCCTCAGCATTTTAAGAAGAAGCATCAAGCCCTTCTATCTGCAAAAACAAAACGCCTCTCTAACTAAACATAGTCAAAAACGTCTGGAGAGTGGCTGTGAAACCTGTCCCACATATCATCTTTTCACACCCATATGCAAACGAAAATCTTTCAGATAGTTTTTGGTGACCAAAAGGAAACAAAAACAGACACCAGCGACCTAACTATTAGCCCTCTTGCCTCCAGGTTTTTCTAGCACATTTCTGTCTGTACCAGCCAGCAAACTGCTTGCCCACAAAATACTAGTTCCTTCAGTTCTGCCAAGAAATAAATTCATTACAGCCATTTGTTGATTTCCCCATTAATAGTCAATTTCATGCTTATTCACTTTGTTCCTTATAGAGAGCTCCTACACAGGTTTCTTCTTATTAACGTTTAGGGATCTTCCTCTTGTCTGTTTCACTTCAGACAAATCACATTGACACACACTCCAAATAAGCCTCTCTCAGTGGCTCTCTCTCTCTCTCTGCCCGCCTCTCTCTCTCTCTCACACATACACACACACACACAGAGAGAGAGAGAGAGAGAGAGAGAGAGAGAGAGAAGCAGAAAACAGTTAAAAACAACAGTTACTTGAATAACAGTCACAATAGAATGGAATACCTCTCTCACGTGACTCACAGCCAATCCTATGAGAGCTACTGCCAAAGGAAAAACCCCATGTTAAAAATGCACAGTAATTTAACATAAGTAAACATTCCCATTTCCATAATGGAAATTAAACCATTATCCTTATCAAGTTTGTGGTTCAAGGTACAGTGGTGCCCCGCAAGACGAATGCCTCGCAAGACGGAAAACTCGCTAGACGAAAGAGTTTTCCGTTTTGGAGGTGCCTCGCAAAACGAATCTGCTATGGGCTTGCTTCGCAAGACGAAAATGTCTTGCGAGTTCCTGGGTTTTTTTTTTCCTGTCCCCCCTCAATTTCTAAGTCCCTAAGCCGCTTATCTGCTTATCCGATAAGCTGATAAGCTGCTAAAAGCCGCTAAAAGCCGCTAAAAGCCGCTAATAGCACTAATAGCGCTAATCCGCTAATCCCATCAATGGGCTTGCTTCGCAAGATGAAAAAACCGCTAGACGAAGAGACTCCCAGAACGGATTCTTTTCGTCTTGCGAGGCACCACTGTACTCCAATGATTGTAACTTGTAATACGGAAGGAGAGGTTCGGCTGTGTCCTGGCGCCAGGAGTGCAATTCTTTTGACATTTGCTCCTCAGGGTCACTTCCAGGAATACAGATTGGCTCACATTCACCATCAATTGAGGAAGGAATGACACACTCTCTAACCAGACATTGGCTCATTATTATTGCAGCAGAGCAAGGGGCTTTGAATGGTTACCAGAAGCAACAGTGTGAACGGACCAAGGATCTGATGAAGCAGACTCAACTACGTTTGAGCCCGAATAGTTGTACTTACAGACAAGCAGGTTAGAACGAACATTCAAAAAAATGGGAGAGAGTTGGCAGGAGAAAGAAATTAGTCCAATGACTCAAACACAATTTTTAAAATCTCTTTTATTCAGACTCACCACAGTTAAAAAGTCAGATCAATTACTAATCATCGTTATGTACTGGTCTTTGTGCATACAAACAAAACCACACACACTGAAGAAACAAGCCCATGGGCTTTCAATTAATTTAGTCCAAGAGCACCAACTGGCTGATGGTAACCACATGACCCCTGGGAAGCCTCCGGCACACACATACTCCTTACGCTCTGTCCCCCCTAGAGAAAATAGGTATCACAAAGCAACCAAAGTAAATCCTGCTTTGTGAACTGGGAGAAAAGCCTTGGTGGGGATGTGTGTGGCACTGGTTATCCAGAGGACTCTTTTGAAGAGCCATGAGGTGGCATATAGGAAGACAGGTTCCAGTGACACACACACAATTCTTGAGGTTTAACCTGCAAGCACAAATGCTACAGACAAAAAGCAAGAAGCCCTTAGCTGTCAAAAGTATATGATGTACCAATGATGTACTCTTTCTTCTGTTTCCGCCGTAGAGCACAATGGGCGTGTCTTTTTACTCAGGGATCTCAACCCTTATAGTTGCTCTGCCAATGAGTTGGTACTGATTTGCTGGATGAACACAAGTTGTCAACTCACCCCATCAGTTTACTCTGCCCCACTCTACTCCCTTGCATTCATCACAAGGAAGCTGGTGGGAACAATTCCCCAAGAAAGCCCTCTTGCTATCATAGCAAATAAAGATATTAGAAAACACAGGTAGGGAGTGAGGGGTGGAATTAGGTGCTACGGCAATAGGCCTCCTAGTGTTGATACTAGGAGGCTCAGATCCGCCTTCATTGTTGAACTCTGCTTGCTTGAGATGGTAGAAAACACCATATTGGCATGTCAACTGAGTTAAGAGCTTAGATTAACGATTCACAGAGGCTCAACCTCCAGAAACCCTAAAGTAGTAAGTCCAGAAGTAGTAACCCTCCATAACCCTAAAACTGGAGGGTGATTATTTCCTACCAGACAAGGGATATTAGGAAATGAGTGCACCTACGGGAACAGCACTATAGAAGCCCAGACACTTGACAGAAGAAGTTCAGCCTTCACTTAAGATTTGCCACAAACGCTTTGCAATCTTCCCTTGCTCTCCAGGTAAACCTCCAATATCATATGCAGATAGGAAAACTCTTGCTCCCCACCTCTAAACACAGCCCCTAAGGTCCCATTATTGATTAAAAGAAATGATCTATCCATTTCGACAAGTAGTGAAGCCGAATATTTCAACAACTAAAAACAAAGCACTGTATGGACTTCTCTCGTAGGTCACTCTTGTAGGCCATTTCAGCTCTTTGATGTTGCCTTGCACCACTCAGTTTATAACACACAACAAGATTTGTGAAGACACAGCAAAGACAATCACCACAGGTTAGACCTGACTTCATACCAACAACCCCGCTGGAAAAGGAGTAATGGAGTGGCAGGAGGGGGCGGGTAACCACAAGAATGACTTTCCTGCGTTTTCCAAAACCACCCACATTAACATCATGGCAAATTTTAAGCCCGTATAATTTAAGTCAAATCAACATTAACCCAGATCAGTATTATTATTACGTAAAAATGCATTGTTCCCATTCCAGCTTCTGCTGTGCATTTTGTC